AAGTATCCCAAGCAGGGTAGCGATACCTTTGAACCATACGGAAAAATGTTTGGAACAGGGTGACATAACACAGGTTTCTTGAAAAATTTGTTGTACACATCAAGATTAATAATGTTGCAAGTAGAACCAGTATCTACAAGAAAATTGACATCAATATTAAAAACCTTAGCATTAACACATGGTGAGCTAGCATTTGACATATTAAAATTGAAAATTAGATTATCATCATCATAATGATCACTATCTGAACTCTCATCATTGTTTACATTATTCACACTAGCACTGTGTTTGTCATTGTCTGTAAAATTCACATGTTGACCTTCTTTGGAAATCCGTACACGACATTCCCTCGCAAAATGATTTCGTTTGTTACAGTATCTACAAGTCCTTCCTTTTGCAGGACAGATTTTGTGATTGGTAAGCGAATTGCCACAGTTTCCACATTTATAATTTCCACGTGTACTGCTAGTGTCCCCGAAAACTCCGCGTGAGCGAGAACCCCTACGAGAAACAAAGCCACGCCTAGATCCACGAGAGTGGCCCAGACCACGATCTTGCTGAAGTTGTTCACTGGACATTGCGTTAATTGATTGTTTACCCTCCATTTATGAAGCACGAACTTCACTGAGTTTTGGACAATGCACGGGCCTCGTCAATGATTTTTTGTAAGTCGTAATTATCCCGTAAGGCACGCCCTCTAAGTCTGAATGATGTGCATCCCTGAACAATCTGGTTAAGAATTTCTGTATCAAAATTTGTTATGATAGTCACACAAATTTGCTTGTGTTCGTAACCTAGTGTAAAAATTGTCAATTGTCTCACCAGATTCCTGTCTGATTTGGCGAAACTTGAACACTTCAAATGTAACATTCTTCTTTGGAGTGTAATAATCGGTTAATGTTTTTCAGTGTTTCATATTCACATGGCTCGGTGACCTCTGGATCTACACTTACGATTCTTGTTGCACCAATGCCCTGTTGTGCGTCAGTGAAACTGTTGTATATGTCATATTTTTCCTCCCAACAATAATGCAAGAGCAGTGCCTTTTTGCGCTTATCTCCACTGCTGTCCATAGCGCACATAAGATTCTCCAATTTTTGGAGACATTTTCGAAATTTGACGGCAGCATCCGGTGCACATCTGGCCTGGAATTGCTCGAAATTTGGTAACGCAGCAGCCATTTTGAAGAGAGTTTCTTATCCTCGTCGCCAGATTTAATGTTCATATATCATGTAACATGAAAAACAAGTACACAGCACGTGTGTTTGTTTGTACATTTATTTTACAATAAACAAGCAATTATTATAGTATTGCAAGCAATCCATAAGTCCCCTACCGGTAAGTGCCCAAGCAACATTCTGAAGGGCCATTGGCCATTCTCTATTGTTCCTATTTAAATAAATTTGTTGAAAAAGTTCTTTAAAAGTGATCACAGGAAACAGTTTTTATGTATGGACAGACAGACGGACTGAAGGACACTCTAAAGTTATTTTTTAAACATCCCTGTTATCAAAAAATAACATTTTTAAAATCCTATCATGATTGAAGAAGTTGGAGAAAAAAATTACCAATTTCTCAAAAAAAAGTCTAAGTTCAAAAGGGGCATACTTCTGGATATAATCTTGCTAGAGTATTGAACACTCACAAATGTTGAGTGATAATAAGAAACATTTATATGAAGTTTGAAGTAGAAAAATTCAGAAAAGGAAGTTATTAAAAAAAACAATGTTTTTTTTCATAAAAAGTTTATGTTCAAGGGAGGTAATTCTGATAAATTTTGTGCTAGAGTTGTAAACCTTGTCACATATGATGTGGTTGATGACAAGCAACTTATATTTAAAGTGTGAAGAAAATACCTGAAGAAATAAAATATTTATAGTGAAAAAACTTAAAAACTAGAATCAGAAATCTTGAAATTCAGTTTAATGTTGCCATAGCAACCAGAATTTTCAACATAGGAAGATAAGAAAAGGATGTGCATAATTTCCATACTGCCATCTACCCATATGTCAAGTTTCATAAAAATATTTTCAGTACTTTTTGCGTTATCACTGGATCCAGGTTATGTAAAAAAATTGCCATATTTTCAGTCTATTTGTTGCCATAGCAACCAGAATTTTCAACATAAGAAGAAAAGAAAAAGACGTGCATAATCTCCATACTGCCATCTATCCATATATCAAGTTTCATAAAAATATTTTCAGTACTTTTTGCGTTATAACGGGATCCAGGTTATGTGTAAAATTTGCCATATTTTCAGTCTATTTGTTGCCATAGCAACCAGAATTTTCAACATATGAAGAAAAGAAAAAGACGTGCATAATCTCCATACTGCCATCTATCCATATATCAAGTTTCACTAAAATATTTTCAGTACTTTTTGCGTTATTGCGGGATCCAGTTTTGTGGACGGACGGAAAGACGGACGGACAGACTGACGGACAGACAGACAGACGGACGGACGGACGGAGGGTTAACCTAAAGTCCCCTCCGGTAAACCGGTAGGGGACTAATAAAAGTGGCTTTCACTTTATAAATTTATTGACGGCATGTTTGTTGTTGCTGTACAGGTTACACACTACTGAATTAACTAAAGGTCAGACTCTTCTATTTAGATATGAACACGACACGATTTTTGTAAACGTTATCGTAATCGACTTGCAGATCTGGATCTACGTTCGTCACAACAAACCGACCATCAGGTAAGTATAAATATAAACATTCGTTCGTGCTAAAAATATACCAGTCTTTTTTCCCTTTTTAATATGTTTAAAATTTTCATGACATTGTTAACATTTACAACAACTCAGTGAGAGGCTAAATATACATAAAGTGCAAACCAAGTCCGCCACTACATGAAGGTCCACAAAACACGAAGCGATAGTCTGGTACACAGGCAATCGGTGCGTGGCTTGGATAGTATACATGTACATGACCACGCCCACTTATTTTTTTTTAAATATTTTTTTTTCACTAATAAAATATTTTTTTATTCAAAATGTTTATAAAATATCTTATTTTCAATAAATCAACAAAGAAAATTTGTTTTTAAAAAATTTCATCCATATATACTATAAATATAGTAAAGGTAGAAAGGTTCGCCAGCGGACCTACCACCAGGCCTCATGTTACCTCCCAGATCTTTGTTAATTGTCAACCAATTTTCACCAAATAAAGTGCAATCTACGCAGAAATGATTTCTTCTTTCGAAAAAATGTACAATATTAGAAACAGTTTGGTTCGACAAAAGATGCGAATTTTAAAGCAAAAATGCCACTTTTTGTCTAGGTCGGCCATCGCTTTGACCGAGCCGAAAGTAGACGATTTTTGAACATAAATCGATCTTTTTCTTAATAATAAACTAATGTCAGTGCATGCAAACAGTTGAAACAGAAAGGACAGCTATAATACTATCGCTTGCCGGTCAAAAGTTAATCCAAAACGTCTGTAGGTACGCACTTTCGGTAGTTATTTGCACTAACTTTTTAAATTCCCTGACATTACATGTATACAAATGCTGACCCGGATGTACCTGCAGGGTTAGAATTTAGCGATATTTTCTACTTGCAGATTTTTGCAAGTGATCAAATGCTTAACTGGCAATATGAGGTAGTCAACTGGCATTTCCATGATCACGAATCTTATCATTACTATAATACACAATGACAATTATTTTGGACATCTGATATGACAAATGATAATAAGCTTGAATCATGTCAGAAGCATCTTTATCACAAGTAAACACAGATCTATTTTTCTTGTAATGAAACAAAAAACATTTCAACACATTAATTTATAAATGAATAAACTGTTTAGGGATCAGATTAGATTATACCAGAGGAACACCCACTGATGACAATGTTACAGTTATAAACTTGTTCATGTAATGTTATTTCTTAGGACCTTTATTAATTTTAGCGTATTTTGTGCTTGACTGAAAACCTAGAGGTACTGATCTACTTAAACAAATATTTCAGCTTAAAAGTAATCACTTTACAGAGTAGTGCTACGCATTTACATTGGATAAAACAACATGGAGTTCTAACAAATAGTGTTTGGTTGTTATAAATAGTCCATCAAAACATAGTCACAGAAAAAAAATAGAGCAACTAAAAACTGATAGCAACTAAAAATTGATTTTTAAGTTTCTAAGGTAAACGTCATCATTTACTGCATCTGGCACATTAAACATCATCAGTTTCTTCAGCAGGCAGTAAAAATGCCAAGCATCATCATCAGCTCAGAAGATAACAATTTTGTATAATGTATATGTCCAAAATGAACAGTCACTTGCAAATAAATGCCAGCTAGAGTAATTTTTACTGGCATTATTAGATTTTAACTGGCATTTTGCCAGTATGCCAGCTTAAATTCGAACCCTGTGTACCTGATGCGTACCCCTTTTCGCATAATAAAAATTGAGCGAAGCTGTGTACCAGCGGGAACCGAGCATGCGTACCTTGAATATCCGGATCAGAATTTGTATACATGTACAATGTTGGGAAATTTAAAAAGTTAGTGCAAATAACTACAGAAAGTGCGTACCTGCAGACGTTTTGGATTAACTTTGGAAATAAGATATTTTAAAAACATTTTGAATAAAAAAATATTTTATTAGTGAAAAAAAAAAAATTATAAAAAAATAAGTGGGCGTGGTCATGTACATGTATACTATCCAAGCCACGCACCGATTGCCTGTGGTCTGGTAGTGTACACAGACACTTGGGGTGTGGAGCTCAAAACGCCTTTAAAATCCAAATAAAATGCATATTCGTCAATCCCAGCCCATGAAAAAGAGCATTTTTTTAAAATAATGTACATGTACCTGTTTCTTAACTATTAATACTACGATTTAGTAGTTGATAAATTGAACTATCTTAACTTGCACAGTAACATCGTCAAAACCAATGCGCAATATTTGTTCACATTTAAGATTACAAACATTATAATCTACAAATAAACAAAATTAAAACAAATAATATCTATAAAAGTAAATTTACCTGAAGCTGAAGCCATGGTGAATCAAAGATTACTGCACTTGTTCTACCAAGATGCGTTTATTTGTACTCCGATGTTAAAGACACGTCAACTTTAAAATGATTCGCGCAGTGATTTTCACAAAAGTTCCTACTTTCGGTTTAGGCTTCTGGGAAATGATCTATTTTTAGCTGTTATAAAGTTCACATTGTAGGATGTAGCATTTAATGGACTTAAGAGGGTTTAACAGACGAGTTTGAACTATAATATTTAAGAATGAGTCGGGCAGCTCTTCCCGGCAGTCGGGGGAAGGAAAAGGACAGGTCTAATACGCGTGACCGAAGTTCTAAATGGTCGAGGGAACCGAAAGTTGATCAGGTATTTGAAAGCGTGGATGGACCGACAATTCTATGTGGAGAGTTTAGCGCTGATGAAGAAAATCCAGAGTAAGTAAATTTGCAACGTTGTTTATTTGCATTGTTATATATGCATCTATATCATTTTAGATACTTCAGAAATATTTTTGTGATGTAGGGGAATAACTTAAATTGCTCAGCACCTAAATATGTTACTGCATTTACCTCCCCTAAATTATTATTTTTTGTTAAGAATACACTATTGTCTGTAGATCTACAGTATTTATTTATGAGTGAATTTATATAATATACAGCAATACCACGTGACATTGACGTCATTTTCGGCATCATTTCCAAGACAAATGTTGCTCGATTCGGAAAAGAAAATAGCCGTAAATATTTTATTTCTGTACCAATTTCTTTGGGATATCCACCAGTCTATGGGGAAAATATAAGCTTTCCACAGAATATTGGATCTTCGTCAGTTTATAAGCCGTTTTATCAAACACTTTGCATAACCTTGGAATTCGCTTGGAAATGATGCCGAAAATGACGTCATAGTCACGTGGCATTGCCATATTTGAGTTACGTCAATCATTATATAAATAGAGGATATTGATGAGTGTAAGTTCAATACTGAATTTATTGCACGGGTTAAATAAAATTATATTATTCGAGCTTCTGCCGAGCATAATATTTTTTTATTCAATGAGTGCAATAAATTCAGTAATAAACTTACACGAATTTAACATTCTATTTATCACATACCCAAAATCAAGACCGTTTAAAGTGAAATTTATAAGAGTCATTTTCATTGACGCGCCTATATTATAACGCTTAAATACACTTGTTACTAAATATAGTAACAAAATTGCCTATGATTTCAACTGATTATGAGTGTCACGTGACCTATTATGAGTTTGCGGCCCGGGGCCGATAACTAGTTATCAGCCCGCAGAACATGTGCACGTGCACAAACTGAAACAATGACGTCATCTTTTACGTCATCAAACAGTTAACTGTAAAAGTGAAAGTAGGTTGTCGGCACGAATCGCTTTAGTTTTATTATGAGAGCTTAAGCGTATTTAGTACAAACACATTTGTGTTACTATTGAAATTTGAAGAAATAATGCGACAAATTAATTCCCAAAAATGAATTCCCCACTTCACACTGCTAGAATATTTATCATGAGGTTTTAATATGGATTCAAATATGTCTTAAAGTTTAGCCCACTGGCCGCCAGCCCACCCATTTCACACTGCTAATCCGCTACACTTTTAGTCCGTCTACTTCACACTGCTAGGAAATGTTCATAACGTTTTCATGTTGATTGAATTAAGTATTCAAGTTTAGCCCGATGGCCCGCCATGCCGCTCAGTTCACACTGCTAGCCCGTTACAATGTTAGCCCGCCCACTTCACACCGCTAGGAAATGTATTATAACGTTTTCATGTTCATTAAATTAAGTATTAAAGTTTAGCCCGCTTGCCCGACAGCCCGCCCAGTTCAAACTGCTAGCACGCTAGACTTTTAGCTGGCCCACTTCATACTGCTAGGAAATGTTTCATAACGTTTTCATGTTGATTCAATTAAATATTAAAGTTTTATCCCGCTGGCCCGACAACCCGCTCAGTTCACACTGCTTACCTGCTACACTGTTAGACCGCCCATTTTACACTGCTAGGAAATGAGGTTTTAATGTTAATTCATTGAATTAAGTAATAATGTTTAGCCCGCTAGCCCGCCAGCCGCCTAGTTAACACTGCTAGCCCACTAAACTGTTAGCCCGCTCGCTTCATACTGCCAGGTAATGTATCAGAACGTTTTCTTGTTCAATCAGTTGAGTTTTAGAGTTAAGCCCGCCAACCCGCCTAGTTCACACTGCTAGCCTGCTACACTGTCAGCCCGCTGACCTTACACTGCTAGTAAATGTATCATGAGGATTCAATTAAGTATTTAAGATTAGCCCGCTGGCCGCCGGCCCGCCAAGTTCACTCTGCTATCCCGCTACACTGTCATTCCGCCCACTTCACACTGCCAGGTTATGTATCATAACATTTCATGTTCAATCAGTTAAGTTTTAGAGTTTAGCCCGCTGGCCTACCAGCCCGCCTATTTCACACTGCTAGCCCGCTACACTGTTATCCCGCCCACTTCATACCGAAATGTATCATGAGGTTTAAATGTGGATTCAATTAAGCATTAAAGTTTAGCCCGCTGGTCCGCCAGTCCGCCCTTTTCACAATGCTAGCTTGCTACACTGTTAGCCCGCCCACTTAATACTGCTCGGAAATGTGTCATTACGTGTTCATGTTGATTCAATTAAGTTTTAAAGTTAAGCCCGCTGGCCCGCTATCTCGCTCAGTTCACACTGCTATCCCGCTACACTGTTAGCCCTCCCGCTTGGTCCGCCAGCCTGCCCAGTTCACACTGCTAGCCGCAACACTTTTAGCCCGCCCACTTGACATTGCTAGGAAATGTTTCATGACGTTTTCATGTTGATTGAGTTAAGTATTAAAGTTTAGACCGCTGGCTTGCTTTCCCGCTCAGTTCACACTGCTAGCCCGCTACACTGTTAGCCCACCCACTTCACATCGGTAGGAAATGTATCATAACGTTTTCATGCTCATTCAATAAGGTATAAAAGTTTATCCCGCTGGCCCGGCAGCCCGCCCAGTCCACACTGCTAGCCTGCTACACTGTTATCCCGCCCACTTTACACATTTAGGAAATGTATCATAAGTTCTAATGTTGATTTAATTAAGTATTAAAGTTAAGGCCGATGGCCCGTCAGCCCGCCCATTTCACACTGCTAGCCCGCTACACGGTTAGCCCGCCCTATTCACACTGCTAGGAAATGTTTCATAACGCTATTATGTTAATCCAATTTATTATTAAAGTTAAGCCCGCTGACCTGCTAGCTCGCTCAGTTCACATTGCTAGACCGCTACACTGTTATCCCGCCCACTTCACACTGCTAGGAAATGTTTCATAACGTTTTCATGTTGATTCAACTAAGTATTTAAGTTAAGCCCGATGGCCCGTCAGCCCGCCCATTTCACACTGCTAGCCTGCTACACTGTTAGCCCGCCCACTTCACACTGCTAGGAAATGTTTCATAACGCTATCATGTTAATCCAATTTATTATTAAAGTTAAGCCCGCTGGCCCGCCAGCTCGTCCAGTTAACACTGCTAGCCCGCTTCACTGTTAGCCCGCCCACTTCACACCGCGAGGAAATGTATCATGAGGTTTTAATGTGGATTCAATTTAGTTTTAAAGTGTAAACCGCTGGCCCGCCCATTTCATACTGCTAACTCGCTTCACTGTTATCCCGCCTACTTCACACTGCTAGGAAATGTTCATAATGTTTTCATGTTGATTCAATTAAGTAATAAACATTTAATCCGCTCGCATGCTAGTCCGCTCAGTTCACACTGCTAGCCCGCTACACTGTTAGCCCGCCCACTTCATACTGCTAGAAAATGTTTCATAACGTTTTCATGTTGATTAAATTAAGTATTTAAGTGTAACCCGCTTTCCCGCCAACCCGTTTAGTTCACCCTGCTATCCCGCTTCACTGATAGCTGGCCCATTACACAGCTATGAAATGTATCATGAGGTTTTAATGTTGATTCAATTTAGTATTAAAGTTTAAGCCCGCTGGCCCACCAGCTCGCCCAGTTGACACTGCTAACCCCCTACACTGTCAGCCCACCCACTTCACACTGCTCGGAAATGTGTCATTTGGTTTTAATGTGTATTCAATTAAGTATAAAAATTTATCCCGCTGGCCAGTCAGCCCGCCCATTTTACACTGCTATTCCGCTACACTGATAGCCCGCCCCCTTCACACTGCTAGGAAATGTTTCATAACGTTTTGATGTTAATTCAATTTTATTACTAAAGTTAAGCCCGCTGGCCCGGCAACTCGCTCAGTTCACACTGCTATCCCGCTACACTGTTTGCCAGCCCACTTTACGCTGCTAGGAAATGTTTCATAACGTTTTCATGTTGATTCAATTAAGTATTAAAGTTTAGCCCGCTAGTCCGCCAGCCCGCTCAGTTCGCATTTCTAGCCCGCTACACTGTTAGGCCGCCCACTTTTCACTGCTAGGAAATGTATCATTATGATTTAATGTTGATTCAATTTGGTATTAAAGTTTAGCCCGTTAGCCCGCTAGCCCGCCCAGATCACACTGCTAGCGCGCTACACTGTTAGCCCGCCCACTTCACATTGCAAGGTAATGTATCATAACGTTTTCATGTTCAATTAGTTAAGTTTTAGAGTTTATCCGGCTGGCCTACCAGCCCGCCCAGTTGACACAGCTAGCCCGCTACTCTGTCAGCCCGCCCACTTCATACTGCTGGGAAATATGTCATGAGGTTTTAATGTGGATTCAATTAAGTATTAAAGTTTAGCACGCTAGTCCGCCAGCTCGCCCAGATCACACAGCTAGCCCGCTACACTGTTAGCCCGCCCATTTCACACTGCTAGGAAATGTTCATAACCTTTTCATGTTGATTCAAATAAGTAATAAAGTTTAGCCCGCTGGCCTGCCAGCCGCTCAGTTCACACTGCTAGCCCGCTACACTGTTAGCCCGGCCACTTCACACCGCTAGAAAATGTATCATAACGTTTTCATGATGATTCAATTAAGTATTAAAGTTTATCCCGCTGATCCGCTGGCCCTCCCAGTTCACACTGCTAACCCGCTGCACTGTTAGCCCGCCGACTTCATACTGCTAGGAAATG